TGTTTCTGATGTATGGCAGTGTTATCTTTTTCATAGCTTGTGTTGGTTGTGCTGTAGTGGGTTGAGTGGTCAGGCACTTTTTGATAAAGTTGCGTGGGTATCCATTTGTTGGAAGATGTTGTATAGGCGATCTGTTTCCCTTTTCTGGTGTTCTGGGTTGCTGCAGTGTGTTTGTGCTCGTCTGAGTAATGTTCTTACACAGCTCCTCTTCTGGGAGGTTGGGTTGCCTATACAGCACAGCCAACAGTGATACTGTACTTGCATATTCTGCATTGAACAATACTGGCTCAAAGGTTAGAGGAGATGATCTGCAAGAAATTCACCAATTCTACAGAATATTTATTTACTTTTAGTATGTTTGCATCAATATCTTGCAATGTCAAATGTTTCTACTGACCATGTGGCTATAGTGTATTTGTGATTATTTTACATGATTAATTATTGGATTCTCTAGCAACATGTTTTGTTAGCTTCCCTCTGCCATTCCCATTGTTTCAGTTCTATCAAATAGAAACCTATCAGGCTAGAAGACAATAAAAAAGGAAGCAGGGTCCTGCATAGCTTCTCAAAAGTTCACTGTCTGGGCTCTACAGAGTGATTCTCATGAAAGTAGCAATCTGTGGATTAATCCAAGAACATTTATTTATATTTAATCAATTTACATAGCTACCACTCAACACATGACTCAGGATGGCTATAAAAATCGAATACATAAAAATAAATAAATCTTGAATCCAATTACCTTTAAGAATTCATTAAGTATACGCTCCTAATCACAGGGATCTACAATATCCATTTAGTATCTCTATTTTAAATTCGCAACCATGTCTAAAACATGTACAAGTATTACACATTTCAGTTGACTTTGTACATGTTACTATGCAACAACAAATGCTCTGTCAACTGGCAAAAATTCTGATATGTGGACTATATATTATGTTTTATCTTTTGTTTATGCTTTAGCAACTATTGTGTTTACTTCTAGGTTACTACAGTACCATTTCAAACTCTGGATAAAGGTAACTTCATAGTTAAGAATTAGCTAAGAAGCTCCGGGGGGTAACTGCAACTTTCCTCCAACATAAACAGAAGATTGTATTCAATGGTGACTTTGCAAAGGGCTTCATTTCATGTAAAACTAAAGGGTCCCAGCTGACCCTTTTATTGCAAGTTCATATTCCATAGCTAATTAACCTTATCTGGATGCTCCACCTTGCAAAAACAAAAATACATTCCACTAAGGCCAAGCCCATTAATTCACCTTAAACTAAATGCCACAAAAGGCATTTAGTTCAAGGTTAACATAAAAGGAAATTATATCCTCCCTCCCTCCCTCCCTCTATATGTGTATGTATTTATATTTATATTTATGATACTGTATGTAATATGATACACTAATTGTCCCATTTGATGAACAGTGCTGTAGCAGGTGCATTGCATAATAGGAGGCAAGGTCAGCCTGTTATTGTTTTAGACCACAATTTATTTCGTAACCAAGGATTTAGCATCCCATTATGGCAAAGGAAATGACTGGCAACAGAAAGGTCCATTCCCCTTCTCAGTGCAAAGTATCTCCTCACCTGCAAAAATTGTACTGAAAAGCCTGACTAGCATGGAATGAGGCTAACATGCAGTTGCAGAGAAACAAGCAGCTTGGCCCTCACATTCCCAAAGAGTTATTTTAGGAGACTCCTCGATCTCAAAGGTCCCAAAAATATTTGTCCAAGCTAACAGTTTCAGCATGATCATATCATTATGGTTACCCAGCCCAAAACTTTAAATCTACTACACGCCACAAAAATGTTTAAGAGTCGGTGTGCAGCTATTCACACAGTACTCACTTCTTTATTGTGTGCTCTTGCTGTAGATATTTATCTTGAATGCATTTTTCAAATACAGCCAATGTAGCCTTGGTATTGCACATTCCATTTGAAAGCACAGGATTTTTCAACAAATCTGTTGACAGGAGCTCAGACTCGATTTCTTCTAGCAAAGCCTCCTGAGAGGAAGCATTCTCTAGATTTGAGATAAGGTTCTTAGTGTAATCCGTATCATATGGGCTCTCTGAAGAGACTTCATAAGGCCTTTTTACATGATTTTGAAATAGGTCCGTCAAGGATTGATTTTTGTCCTCAGTTTTCAAAACCTGTTGTTCGCTGTCCCCAGTGGACAAGCAATCTGCTTCCTTGGATTCTTTTATTTTTAACTCACAGCAGTCTCCATTAAAATCTGGAGCAGGTTGTGCTTCAATTTCATCTCCATCCTCACTTAGATCAATAGATGGTAAAGTGGGATCCAGCATTAATTCTTTATTTTCTATGCTTAAAGTGCTTTCTTCACATCCAGTGTCTGCAATATGTAGACCATCCTGACTTTCATACTTTTTGTCAGCTTCTTCAACACTTGGTAAATTGGAAGATTCATTATCAGTCTTTGATAAGTTGACCATCCTTGGAGTACTCTGCTGTTCTGGTAAGTGCTCATCCATCTTTCCACCAAGTATCTAGAAATAAAATAATCCATATTATCATAGGGACAAACAAGAGATACTATAATCTATGTTATAGGTACAACATTCTGTTGATTTTTAAATAAGGCAGGACTTGAAAATTACTTCCATTGACAGAAAGGCATGAAGATCTTTTTTACTTATTAACCTCCTTTTCTATCCCATAATCCCACATCATCGGCACAATCCAAGCAGAAGAATGGAAAAAGTGCATTTATTCATGCAAATCACTGACCAGTTAAATAAATAACCCAAATCACCTAAACCAATTATACTTGCCACCTTCTCTTTATTGTTTTAAATGTGATGCAAACCAGGAAGCCACCCCTACAAGCAATGGACTGGTGAGAGCAATGTGCACACCCAGATGACTATTTGGATGCCTGTCCAATTTACCTGACTGCTAATCAAACAATTTATTCTTGCACAGAAGCCTGATCAGCCTCTTCCTATAAACCTTCCCATTTCCTTTACAGATGGGATATCAGGTCTAGAATTGCTGCTTCAACTTCAGCAAAGGGATCGTGGTGAAGCTCTAGGTAGCTGCCTCTCTTTTAACACAGGAGATGTTGCAATAGCACCTGCCAAAGTAATGGTTTCAACATTTTCCCTCCCATATTGGCCCCAAAGCACTGTGTGCATATATGCATATAGAGAGAAGAGGCAGGTCTTGGGTTTCAAGGAAGACCTCAAGATATTCCTCTCCATGTTCAAAACATACAAACCTGCTGATGATCACAATGGAGAGAAAGCTTTCACCTTATTCCAAAACCAGATTTGACCAAAAGAGACTTGACTTGACTTTTACCTGGCACAATACAATATAAAGTAAGCCAAGGAATATGTAGATACAGGACAGACTAGTATATAGGCTCTCCAATAATTAATAGCATGAAACTTAGTTTTTATCGCTGATAATTTAACTCCCTGGTTTGTATTGCACCCAGTAAAGTGCCAGAGCATAACACAGAATGTTAGACTTATTCACACTCAAAATCCAGAAAACACTGCATGCATTATCTACATTTTGGTGCAAAATATTATATTTCTATTATCAACAGTGAATAGGTAAAATAATGCAAAGTGGTAGCATCTTCTCATTATTTCATATGATGGTCTTCTTTGAAACCCAAGACCTGCCTCGTCCCCCTACATGCATATACACACATAGTGCTTTAGGGCTGATATGAGAGTGAAAATGTTGAAGCCATTGATTTGGCAGCTGCCACTGCTATGTCTCTTATAGCACACCAAATATGAAAACTCTTTAAACACTGCACATTTGAGTACCAAGCACAGAATGACTTCTTCCTCACTTCCTATTTCACAAGGTGTTAAAAAGTCTAACGAACGAAGTAAACAGGATGCATTACAGCCAGCTCTTTAATGCATATGAACAAAACAAGATTGGTTAACAACACAAATTGCCTTGCCTAAGATATAAGTGCATGGGTTGAAGATTTTTTTCCCCCATTAGCTTGAACACAAGCTTGAACACAATGGCTAAAAGAAAGAAAAACTATTCCAAGCCCAAAGAAAAATCAAGTTGTTCTACTTTCATAATCTATCACTAATGATAATCTTTTCACAAACTGTTTCTGCTCTTGAAGTAAGAGGGAATGTTTGCTACCAAAGTGGGGAGATTCTTACACTAGAAAAATTCAATAGATTCACTGCAAAGTGACTATACCATACCTGCCATCCAAGAGTGGTGGACTACAACACACATTATCTGGCTAGATCATGAAAGAAGTTGGAATTGAATACATCTGGACAGCTCTCAGGTGAGGAAAATTGTGGTAGGTTTAACCTGTACCTATGAATGTTGTTCCATTTAATCTGTTCTCTTTCATATTAGATAGCACCATCAAAAAAATATTGGAAAATATTCAGAAATAACACTTTTAAGACTATCATCTTATCCCAAAAAATAGATTTGAAATTTTAACTGGGAGTGAAACAAGTATATTTCCTCAAACGTTATAGAAACATAAATAGTGCTAATCATTTTCCACACATGGAAGAAGTAAATTGGAAATATTTCAAAATGAATAAATCTTAAAATAACCCAGATTTTTAAAAAATGAATAGATTTTATAGAAGAGGCTGACAAAATGGATTTATTGGTAACAAAAGAAAAAAAAATAAAGGAAGCTGAGGCCGGACTACATTATTTTGCTAAACTGTCTGGGTTCATAAAGCTAAAACTAAGCTGCTGAATGGCTCTATCATATAAAAAATATACATAATGAAGACTTTGTAACCAAGGAGTTTAAATTGGTCCTAAGAAACTATGTGTGGTAAACATCAATGGAAAAGGGGTGGGCAACCCTTTTCCATCACTGGCTGTTTTCCCTCAATGGTAATCTGTTCATTATGGTGGGAGAGACTGAAGCAAGCAGCGCACAGAGCCAGAACCCAAAGTGGGTGGGAACTCCCATTCTTTCACTCACGTTCTTTTTTTCTTTTTCTTCTGTCTTTGCTGTCTTCTAAACTGGCGTTTCTTAACCTTGGCAACTTGAAGATGTCTGGACTTCAATGGTGACTGGGGAATTCTGGGAGTTGAAGTCCAGACGTCTTCAAGTTGTCAAGGTTGAGGAACACTGTTCTAAACAGCAGGTAATTCTCACCAAAGTTTTAAAGAATTCTACCTTCTTCTGTTAAAACAATTATTTTCTTAAAAAGAAAGGGGGGGGTCATGTGCAAGCATCCAAACTGTAGAAGATCTTAGTGAATTTTCATTACCATATTTTGACTTTTTTTTTGAAAAAGTACACCTTTTTTAAAAATAATTTAGATTCTCGAGACATTTTAAAGACTAACAAGGGTACTCCTTAAAAATTATTTCATATTGTGAAACTTTGACAAAACAATAGGGAAGAGGATGTGAAGAGGTATACATTCTCAAGCTTGTGGATAGTCCTCTTTAACTACCAAAAACCGTTTTTTAGAATCGATAACAGTTGTATATCTATATCAGTTCATATTTCTGGAAAAAAAATTCTGAACATTTATTGTAGACATATTTTTCAAATATTCAAACTATGATTCAATTCTGACATCACATGCTACTTCACTCTTTTTCATGTGCTCAAATGATCTCTTGCACTTTCTGCTGGCCAAAGTTTATATCTAAAAAAGATTAGAAAAGGTGTTTTCAAGTGGTTCTAGAGGCAAAATAGAACTAACAGTGATCATAGCTGGGCTAATTCTGATTCACAGTGTGACAGCTAATTTTCACATGGTCAAAAATAAATACAGTGGTACCTCGGGATATGAACACCTCTACTAACGAACTTTTCGGGTTACGACCAGCTCCGGCCACAAAAAA